TTTTAATTGCTAAATTTAATGGTAAAATTTCTGTTTTCGTTTTTTTTTGTCGTTGCAAAAAATATGATTTATTTGACAATTTGTTTATTTTTCAAAAATTTTAATTTACAAAATAGATCAGCTATGATTGAAATATAACTAAATAAGTTTACATTTAATAATAATTATTTAGATAAACGAGCTGTTTCATTGCTTTCTTCTTGTTATTAGTTGTTTAAGTTTGAATATTGCATAATTATTGCTCATCATTTTATTCATATAATAGATCAGAAAGAGAGAGAGAGGGAGAGAGAGGGAGAGAGAGGGGAAGAAGAAAAGAAGTCATCTTATCTATTGTAGTAGGGAAGTATAGGAAATAACATATATTTGAGTATAATCAATATTCTTCGGTTGTCATTTGGTAATTTATTTTGTTATTGGTAAAATAAAAAATATCCTTTTTAAATAAAAATTTAAATATTTTTGTATTAATTATACGAGAAATGTGATAGTTGGATAAAATAATAAAATCAATAATTTTAAACTTAATGCTACTTTTAATATATTTCTCATATTTATAATATCCATCAAAGATATTATAATTATGAGGCTTTTAATTGATAAAAAAAAAGAAACAATTTGAAAAAAATTTATTTGAAATTCAATTTAAATTTCAAAAATTCTTAAAATTTTCATTTATCATTTTATAGGTGGTATGCCATCCGATTTGCCTACTGCTTTAAAAATGGAAACATCAGAATTGGAATTAATTGAGAAGGATTTAGAATCTACTCAATACATTAATAATCAACAAAAAATTTTTCGTTCGTTTCATACAACATCCAAACATGTTAGCGGTAAAGAAATTACACATTATTATTTTTTATTCATATATAATATGTATCATATTATTAGATTATTTAATTCTAATGTTTGAATTAGAGTCATTAAAATAAATAAAGCATAAGTAGTTTAGTGGGAAATGTTATTGTACCAAATATAAAACTTTCATTTATTTCAATTTATCTTACTCATCTATTTTTTTCAAGTTTCAATTTTTTTTCATTTTGTTTTTTTTTTTTCTTTTTTTTTTTTAAAGAAATCATTTATTTCTAGTATTAAATGATATGTCATTGTGAATGAATTATATAGTATGCAAGCAAATAATAATCAATAACAATTATAAGTTAATAAAAAAGTATGCGAGCAATAATCAATAACAATCAATTAATTAAATGAATGAATTATACAATATGCAATTAATAAAATTTTGCTGATTAAGTTATATATGTGTGAGAATAAAAAAAATGCTATTTAAACTTAAATTTGAATTATAGAATTTGATTGATTATTGTTTGTTTTTAGGAACCTTTAACGAAGTTATATCACCAAAACCTGCATCACCAATTTCATTCAATATGACAGAAAATGGTGATAACATTAAGAAACATATCAATAATAAGGTATTATATATTATTTTGATTTTTTTTTATCTGAGTGATTATTTTATCAGTTCATTTTGTCTCGTTTTGTGCAAAGAGAGAGAGAGAGAGAGAGAGAGAGTGAGTGTGGACGAAAAATGGAGAGAGATTATAAAATTATATCTAACAATTTAAAAAAATGACAAAAATATTTGTTTAAATTAAACGGAAAATGAAAAAGTTAAACCACAAAAATGTTAGTGTTTGAGGAAAATTGTAAATAATTCATTTGAATTTTTTTTTCTTTGCTATGTATTTGTTAAAATTAAATGATAGGAGCGCTACAAAAAAAAGAGGAAGGAAAAATTCTTGAATTAAATTTAATTACCTATTTCAGGTTTTTGTTGAACTATATGATTTGGATTTACAAAAGGGTGGAGAGTGGACGGAAACAGCTCGTTGGATTAAATACGAAGAGGTCTTTTTTTTTTTGTTTCTTTTTTAAATATTTGGAAAGAACAAAGATTTAGATGCTGCTAATAATTAGATGATAATTGTGTTATAAATTTTGCTTATTTTCAAATAGCACTCTTTGAATTTAAAATTTTGTTCGTATTCAAATAGTGTTTTAAAATTTTTAAATATTCTCTAAAATTTATTTGTCTCATTTCCAAATAGACTTTTAGAATTTTACAATGTTCCATAAAATTTATTCGTTCTATCGAAAATTATGATAGCTAAGTTTAATTTATAAATTTATATCAAAATTTATTTAGGATGTTGAAGGAACGGATCATCATTGGGGTCAACCACATGTTGCATTCCTTTCATTTCATGCTTTACTCTCTTTACGAAAATTTATGCGGACAGGTTTAATCAAATGCTACATTTTTTTTTTTTTTATAAAATATCAACAAGATTAAATTAATTTTAAAATTCATAAAATAATATTAACATACAAAAACACCATACATATTTTACTACGCATTTTTATTTTTATAAATAATTTCAGAAATTAATCGTATAAATATAATTAATAGTTTCAGGTATGATTTTACTTGACTGTAAAGCAAAAACATTTGTTGACGTTTGTGATCAGGTAGCTAATGCAATGATTTCTGAAGGAATTACTTGTAAGAGAAGAGATATCATGCAAATTTTAGCAATGAAACAAGCGTAAGTGTATTATTTTCTTTTCTTGTTTTTCACCTTTATTAAATAGAAGAAAAATTAATTACTTAATATTTGCTGAAATAATAGCAATTATTTTTTTTTTTAAAAAAAATTAATTTTTAATTTGCGTACCGAGATTTTCTTCATTTAGACATCCTTTATCACGTCGAATGACTGCTTTATCATTAGCTGGTTCAGTTTTCGATCGACGTTCTGAATGTAATTTA